TCGAGGCGATGGCCCGCAGGTATGTAAGGATGGCGACAATACCGGCGCCAATGGGACGGCAGGTCGAGGTGTGGTGTAAGGCATCGTTGGAACCGCTGAAGGATATATCGGTTAACACTTGTAGTAGCGATGGGAACGATACCACAACTCCCAGTGCCAGCGATTCCAGTGATCGCCGCAAGTGTTGTACGTTAGACGACAAGTGGACACAAACTGAGACTCTGATGTCGGATCCGGTGCCCAAAGCACTGGTAGATAAGGCTTTGAATGCCGTTATGGCTGCTATTGACTACATCGAGGGACACATACCAGAGCCCAAAGTTCGGAAGCGATGGGACAAACCATTTGGTATGGAAACCATCGATGAAGAGGTGGACACAAGAGATAAGTCACTGGAAGTGGTATTGAGTGATCGTTTGAAACAGTCATCGACTCTATTATCGGGTCTATTAATGGCAGCCAAAGGATTGTCACCACAAGTGGACAGTCGTATCGAATCTGATTACGAGATCAAAGACTCAGAGGAATACGAATACTATGAAGAGATCGAAAACCGGACACCAATTGATATATCCCTAAGACATGTCTGGAAAAGTAATACAAAGCCCGACCCCATGGTTCTCAATACGACTGTCCAATCATTGGACGCAACCGATGGCGACAAATGTGATAATCAATTGATTGGTGAGGTGTTGAAAGTGTTTGACGACACCATCGACTACTTAGACGACACTAAGGATATGAAACCGCTTGAGAAACAACACGAGACACCGATTTAACCGATGGCGACAAATATGATAATCAATTGATTGGTGAGGCGTTGAAAGTGTTTGACGACACCATCGACTACTTAGACGACACTAAGGATATGAAACCGCTTGAGAAACAACACGAGACACCGATTGATATCTCATTGGCTAACACCGGGACCACTTCCAGCTCCAGTTCCACTCTAACACACATTTCATCCTTCAAAGTAAGTCTTCAATGAATTGTAAGTTTTGTATAATTTTTTGTTTCGAAACAACTCTTAAGGTGTCGACTGACAAGGAATCGCATGACTCAGACGGGAATGGTATGTGGAAATGGATACCAAAAGTATTGGAACAGGAATTCCGTCAATGGGAGCAAACGTTTCCCAGAATTGATTTTCAGAAACTGTTCCTGAAGTCGACATCAGTTGTGGGCAATGATAACAGTCTTGAGACTACGGGTGTTACCAATGATAAGACCACCGGTGATGTCACCGATGGAAAGGCTGTCCACTCTATTGCTTATCACGTGAGACATACCATCGAGTCGTTAATTGTGTGATAATTATCTGGATTTATGATTAATAGTTGACACAATTGACCTCAATTTTGGGAACCGTTGGACAGCAGTGTCATTACATGTCATTACATGTCATTACATGTCATTACATGTCATTACATGTCAAACTCATACCACAAGAAATCGATGGCAATGACTGATAAGATAATGAAGAAGCTATCGAAAGGTAATTGTCAGACACTGTCGACAATTGTCTTAGAGCTGTTCCTGTGGTCACCGGACGAGTCGACCACCAAATGGCATATCCGTCGCAATCAAACTCTATGTCTGGTTTGCGATGAAAATACCGGTGCCTATAGTTTGCGTGTATTTGACTCGAGCACAGGTCGTGCAATTTGGAGCCGAGAGTTGGGCTCAGACTTTGGCCATAAGATACCTGACCTCAGATTTCTGGTACTGGAGCCCAG